CTCCTATTGGACAAAGCTCACCACCATCTACTCCTTGATGTAACTTATAACATACCCTTTAAGTTACGACACCAGTCGCTTCCCCGCTTTCGATGGATGGCTTCTAAAGCTTGATTCTGCCGACGTGAGCCATCATTGCCCAAGAGAGACCGGCCCTGACATTAAGTCTTATTGCTCTTGCGGAATTCCACGGCCTCCGCATTTAGACGACAAGAAACCCGCAACGCTTTGACACCATAGGGCATCGGGGCATCGGATTTTAACTATTTTCGAATACTCCTTGTAAGGGGGTATTATGTTTCCTTTTTCTTTTCTTTTTTCCCTATGTTCTGGTTACGTTGTTGGCTAGCTTCCGGGATATTCTTCTCTATTAACACATCTACATGCCACTTTGAGCTCTCACGTTCATAGCACATGGTTGGGTATTAACGTAAAGTGTCTTACGTTAATACCAACATGCAACTGCAACGCACAATAGAGACGGCAAGATGTCTGCACGGTAGGTTTTGACAACTCTCCTTTATTTTTTTTAAATTGGACCATGCCAGCCATACGTTTTATACGTATATCGGCATTCGCGTATCAATTGCATTGACGCGAGTGTTTTCGCTCCTGGCAGAGATTAAAATATGAACCCGTTGCTGGGCGCCCGGTATCGAGAGATCGTTTTGAATCTCATTGAGAATCCGGGAATCAGTAGAGGTCACATTTCACTGCAGTATCTATGCAGTTTTCATTCCGTTTCTCCTCTGTTAAGATAGCCTAATTTTCCCAAAAGGCTGCAGGTTGTGTCAGACTGAGCTTCCATCAGCATGTCTCAGTTACCCCGTACCTTTGGTACCTTTGATGGCCCGTCCCTGTAAGCTGACCCATTGGGGAATATTAAATCTTTACTATAGTTAAGGCTTTATCATCTGGCGAACTACGGGTTAATGGCCGGATGGCTCTAGGGTACGACGCAGCCGCAGTGGAGCTTGCTATGTAGTTCGTTTTCATAATATACATATCTCTATTGAATCTATTTCCCCGTCACATCTTTCTGTAATCTGCAAACGGGAATAAACCCGAGAAATTGGGGAAAGGGCCCTTCCCGACGCCACGGCGCGACAAGCATGTAATGTCAGAGTCTTCCCACACCATTTTAACGTTGTGACATGGATATCAGCCAGTGGCCGGCTGTTTCGTTAGTTCCCGCTATAGCACCTCCGTCTCCCGAGAACGCCCCTAGATCCCCAGCGGAGATCGTTCCTTGGCATGAACGGAAAGTGATTCAATTAGTTGCCACTTGAGTCTGGTAGTCTTGGCTCTATCTCTACATTGTAGGGTCCAAGATGTGGCAGTACCGGATGGCAAAAAGGCGATACGCCAGTACATACACGATAGGCCTGAAGATGTGGTCGTTGGTAGGATTTAGGACGTGCATATTAGTGCATACCTACCTAGGTGGGCCGTCTTATGGTGTAGAGAGTACGTGGATGGTCGGCTAGAAATCTAGACACCAAGAACATGGCGGCCATTAGACGATATCAAGAAGAGTAACCCGAGTTTGGGCGGCTATCGGTTTATGCCATGGTCGTCACCACTGGAACGCTGACGTATCCACCACCTTCACAACTCTGTCAACAGAGCCCACGATGTTTTGTTTTGTTTTTCCTTTACTAGGGGCGAGCGCGCTGATAGAAGATAGCGTTCACCACCACACTCGGATGCCTACCTATGTAGGTAGGTATGCTAACAAATCGTTAGGCACGCTGAAAGAGCATCGTAACCTTAGTCTTCTGTCAAATGACCTCATGATGTAGCATCAAGAAATGAGTAAAACGCGCCGGCGGCATCGGCAGGTTATACATTTTGTCAAATTAATTTCTAGTACATTTCGAATTGCGTACATAGGTCGCTTGCAGGTTGGAATTTAGGTCCTAGTCCTACGTGTTCAAGGCCTGGTAACCTCCGATGCCCCCGTAGCCCGCCACCCATACCTACTAGGTACCTACACGGAGGCTGGGGAAGGATGATTGGGATGGGATAGGCTGAACCGTTCGAAGATTATCTGCGGGGTTGTCGAATTGCGCGCTTCATGCTACTGCAGGCATTCAAGGCTGCTTCCTCTAGCGCGATCAAGCATCCTGGATGGCGAAGTTTGCCGGCCGGCGATGGCGATGAGATTTATGTTAAGCCGGTTAGCGGAGGGTGATCGGCAACGTTGAGCTGCAGGCGAGCAAACCGAGAGAACGGGCCAGGTCTTCCAACTAACATAGTGTGGGGAATGCAACTGAGGTTGAAAAGGGCTGATCCGGACAAGAAAGGATGATGGTGATCTGTAATGAAAATAGTATCTTGGGGTGGGATATTCCCACGCAAGACACGCACCCACTGTGAGCTTAATGCATACAAGCCTTTAGGGAGGCAAGACTAATGCGGCTGTCAAAGATGTGATCTAGCCAAGAGCTGCACGCGATATGGTGTGCCGTACTAAAGCATGTGCCCCGGAGATATGCCTACGGAAACCTTGTCCCGGTCTCCTCGAGGCCAGTTCTTCACCAAGTATGGCTCCCTTGCCTACATACCTGGTAGTTGAGCTATCTACTGATCGAGGAGGAATCTAACCTAAACAGCTAAAGATAACCATATTAGGCATGAGTAGCCTTTTAGGTCTATCACCACCTAAAACATGGGAGGAAGAAGGCGTGGCATGGTGCGCGATAGTCTCCGTGTGAGACTTTCTCTAACCCCCCGCGCCGGCCGAGGAGGCCAGACCCTTCATCTATGATACGAGACTTGCGTTGGTGGCAAAGAGCCCGCAAATCTAGCTATAAGCCTAGATGGTCCAGGTAACGCCCCTGAACGTGCTCGGAAGACCCTCGAGGGACAGTGTAACAATAATACCGGAAGTAACGGACGTCCTGCAAGCCCCTCCCCTGTATCCAACCTCAGTTTCCCACACCCCTCCATTTTCTTCCTCCTCACTGTTTCTATACTTCACCTACCTACCTATGCTGACGTGAGTTTTGAAAGTATCAGACATCCGCACTTCCTCGCTAACAGCTTACCACCAGCTGTGGGCATCATCATCAGACGAGTTCGATCGAGAGAGGGGAAGAGAGACAGCAAAGACGTGGCAATTCTTTCGTCTTCTCCACATTTGGTCAACCCCACGAGGAAGGAGATTTGATCTGGGGGAGAAATCATGAAACATCTTTGTTGAGGGATGCGCCAAGGACGCCCCCCGTCTGTCGTGATGCTGACAGGTTTTTTTTTTTTACTAGAACTTTTTTTTTTTGCCCCCATCCGGGACGGCCAGCTCCCATCATCCCGAAAGTCTCAACAGGCGCGGCATTCGTCAGTTACGCGGCTTGGCGCGTCTTCCCCCTTTTCATCCCAATTTCTCACTCCAAGTAGGCTTCTGTACGTCCCTTTCTGGAGTCATCATTCGCTGAAGGAACAAGCTTTTTTAGTTCAAATACACGAGTTCCACGAAGTGTGCGTTTGACAAGATTTTTTTAGCGTTGTCGTCATATTAGACCGCAAGATCAACCAAAAGGACTGTCTGAACTCGATCGCCTCACTCGCATACTCTAACCCTCTCCCTTCTACTTCTACTTCTTCGTCCCTTTTTTTCACCCACCCCCTTGCTTCCTGATCTGGGATAACACAAGGCGAGACAAAAAAGGCTGGGCAGAAGAAAAAAAAAGGATAAGTCGGTGAGTGGGTGAAGCGCGACGCCGCCCATTGTCGCCACGACTCGGGCTTAGCTCCGAAAGACCTTACGACCAAAAGGAGCAATGAAGCTATAGGCACTGTCCTTGAACGCGGCTGCGGACGACGAGAGACGGCGATTACGACAAGCAGCGTAGATCGATGCCGTATACATCAACCGACTAGGCCGCGGCCTCTCATAAGCAAGGAAGCAAGCAGGCAGGTTTCCAGCATAGGCACCTACGCACGCAAGCCAGATCATCGAACGTTGCTACGTTGGAAAACCAAACTAAACTGTATAGCTAGTTTTAGTTTCTTTTTTTTTTTTTCTGTTAATGTTCTCAGCTCACTTCTCGGGGCCTCGGACGGGGAACTAACTGTTCGCAGTGCCGAGAAGACGGAACTCTTGGTACCGAGAAGCAGGTAGTGCTTCGTCCCGGCTCCCGAGTCGTAAAAAGATGCGCTTCGGCATGCGGTATGCGCGAACACTGGGCTGCATTACCACATGCAGGCAAATAGGTCGGTAGATAGCTACACAACTCACATAGCGTGGGTATCGTATAGGTAGGTAGGCATAGACATAGACTAGGAACTTACGTACATACATACATACATGCATACATGTATGTAGAACCATGGAATATACTGACGCAACATGCAAGATGTACTTCCCAGATCAAGAGACGTAACGTAGCTACTTACTAAGTACCTCCCTCGATGATTAACTGTCTAGACTCTAGATTCTAGACATTGCCTATACATGCCTAAGTAGGCACCTAGGTACCTATCTCGCCTCTCCTAGGCGGTTTTCGGATTGTATTGTCTCAAGAGGGAGTCGGGGAGTGCCATGTGGTGACACCAGGTCTAATGTTGTGAAATCCTTCCAAAGCTGTTCTCGACTCTTTTTTTCCCTTTTCTTTCCATCCAGTCGTCAATCGAGTCAGGTTATTTTTGCTGCTGCTGCTGCTGCTGCTGCTAAGAGTTTCTTCCAACTTACCGCGTTTACCGTAGTAACGGAAGCGCCAAGCAACTGGTCTACTATCGACCTGCGTTTAGAATGTTACAGAAAGGAGATGTGTTATATTGTTATGGACATCTAGAACTTTGAATAGCTTACCTTCAATGTCACTTGGGTTTGTTTGTGTGTGTGTGTGTGTAAGTGAGGGTATGTATGTACTTCGTACTAATGTGAAATAGCCTCGGTATTCTATTCGACAGTACAGCAGAGTGGAACCTTGCAGGTTTACGTAAGTCCTGAGTCTCCAATTCTTTTTCCTTATCCGCCTTTTTTTTACTTCTACATAGTTAATTTCCAAGGTACGGGTAGTTACTTGGCATCCGCGTACCTACATACATCCACATACATCCACATACATGACTACATCCATAATTAATATCATCCATTCATCATTGTCATCATTGTCATCATTGCCATCATTCTTGTTAGACATCTCCTCCTCTCGTCTTACCTACCTACCTACCTACCTACCTACCTACCTATTACCTATCTAGAACAAACATCTGACTACCTTTGACTACCTAGTATATGCTTGTAAGCCACAATGGCAAATCCTGACAAACCAACAAAGTGCTTTCTCCCTTTGCTCCTATTTGCTCCGTGATGTATGTGTAGCTAACCATACGTGCTCATGCGGCAAAACAGACCAGTACATATTCTCTTCGTTGGTGCTGGCGCGGTAGGATGCTTCTACGCATCACGGTTACACCATGTATGGCCTGACAAGACACCACTCGTGTTTCATTTTGATGTTGTCTCCTTATAGCCCTATGAAAAATAAGTTGCTGATAGTTACGCTGTTACGAACCATTCTCATATAGCCATCTCACAATATCCTTACTTCTCTCATCGCCCGGTCTAACTACTCCGCAATTGCCAAGTCTGGCGTCTCCTTGCAGACTCACTCCTTTGGTGACTACACATTTCAGCCTCATGCCGTGTTCCCTTCCATCTCAGCAGCAACAGCAACAGACGACCCAGGCTCGTCACCCTTGGCCGCCAATCCTGCCTCTGCCCCGCAGAGCCTACCGCCGAAGGATGGGTGGGATTACATTATAGTCACCACAAAGGCACTTCCTGACCGCAACGACGACGCGGCTCTGATCGCCCCACTCGTCTCTGCCAAGTCATGTATCGTGCTGATCCAAAACGGCGTCGGCGTTGAGGAGCCCTATCGGTCTCGTTTCCCGCATAATCCGATAGTGAGTGCCGTGACCGTTGTTAGCGCTGAGCAGATCAGGAATGGCGTCGTACGGCAGAATCGGTGGACCAGGATCAGCCTAGGACCGTATGGCCACGGTCTCAGCGCACCCTCGTCGCCATCTGACTCGGCTTCGACCGTCAATGATGATGATGATGATAAGGCGGTAGTACAGAGAGGCCACGCGTGCATGGACCAGCTCGCGCAATGGTGGGCCGACCACGGCGGCATCCGCGACGCCGAGACGCACACCGAGCTCGAGCTGCAGACCATCCGCTGGCACAAGCTGTGCATCAACGCCGCCTTCAACCCCACCGCCGTCCTATCCGGCGGCCGCGGCAACGCCGACCAGCTGACCGACCCCGAGCTGCGCGAGCACATCACGGGAATCATGCACGAGATCCGCCACGCCGCCGCTCAGGTCCTCGGAAAACCGTTCCCGGATTCCCTGGCGTCGCCGGACCGCATCATCCGGAGCAGCGAGAGGAATGCGGGCGCTAAGCCGAGCATGTTGTTGGACTGGGAGGCTGGGCGGCCGATGGAGCTAGAGGTTATCCTGGGGAATCCGGTCAGGATTGCGAGGAGGAAGGGGGTTGATATGCCGAAGTTGCAGAGCTTGTATGCGTTGTTAAGGAGCATGCAGAAGGTGAGGGAGGAGAGGGGGGAGAAGGGGAAGTTGTAGGGGTGGGATTGAGAGTAGGCGATCTGTGCATAAGAGGATCGAGGGCATGAAGCTGATAATCTACTGTAATCAAAACATTTTCCTTTTTCTAATGTACAATCACACTTTAAAAATACGTAAATAGCATTCAGGGGGTTTGGCTTTCAACAGTTTCATGTCACATTACAGTCATATCGAAGCAGGTAAACGCAGTTCAAGCTAGTTAAGGGGTATCAATGAATCTATCGTATAAGTATGCTAGTTAGGGGGTATCATGGTCAAGTCTAATCTACCTAGCCTACGACGTCTCTTTTCTTCTTTTTTTTCTTTCTCTATCTTGACTCGGGCCGATTTTCAAGCTCATGTTCAAGCTCGAACTTGGGCCCAGGTTCAAAGTGAGGTTCAGTGCCAGATTCAGGCTTGATCCCAATCTCAGGCTCAGATCCAGATTCAGCTTCAAGCAGAAGCTCAGCCTCAAGCACGGACGCAATGTTCTCCAGTTCAGGGTCACGCTTAGCTTCCGGTTTGGCCTCCGGCTCCGGAAGACTCAGGATAAAGTCCCGCACCTCCAGCGCATCCTTCGTCTTCGCATCGTGCGCATCCGTGCTGTACTTCCTGCACGGCGTCGCCACCACGTGCATGTGCAGGTGGCCAACACTATGGTCCGGCCACAGGTGGAACCCGAACGTGAAGTCGTCGACCCCCAGCCCGTGGATCGTCCGCTCGAGCTCCCGGTAGTGCTTCAGCGCGACGCCGTACCCGTTCGGGTTCGCCTCCGCCGCGTGCTGCGCCTTGATCTGGCCCAGCTGGTGCGCGAGCACCTTGTCCCTTACGCCGCGGTCGGCCCACGCGCGCCGGAACAGCGCGATCATCTCGTCGATGATGGACACGGTGTCGCGGGTGAGGGACACGGCGTTGAAGAGGCTCGCCTTGGGGATCGCGAGCACGTGCACCATCGACATCCCCGCGCGCTCGGGCGCCCGCTTGTACTGCGCGACGTCGAAGGAGGCGTGGTTGCCGATCAGCAGGGCGTGCGCGCTCTCGCCGAGGATGTCCTCGGGGCCGTGGCGGTCCTGGAACGACGTGAACGGTGTTTGCGCCTGCACCCACTTGGGCAGGTTCGGGTACTCGTGGCCGGGCGTCTGCAGGCGGTAGGCCTCGACGTCGGCGCGGGCGGAGGTCTGGCTCTGGAAGCGCTCGTACTGCTCCCGGATCGCGGGCGTCTTGCCGGCGAAGGGGCGCTTGTTGATGGGGGCTTTTTGGCGGGCCATTTTCTTCTCCTTCTTCTTCTTCTTCTCTCCTTTTTTTCTTTTCTTCTCTGTCCTTTTCTCGCTGGGCAGTACTACCTCTACCGCTGTTGCTGAGGCTGCTGCTTCTTTCTCTTTGACCGTTTGCGCCGGCGATTCGTTCCTTCTTCCTCTCTTGCTGAATGACTGACTGATGCACTGCGTAATAGACTGACTGATGGGTCCCTGCTTCCCTCCTCCTCCCCCAAGCACTAGGCCTCGTCGAAGCTTATTTACTATATACATCTTGGCCGCTCCTTTCTTCGCCCGTCCTTTTTAGGGGTCGTTCGTGCCTTCCTTTGTCTGCTAGGACAGCACACCTTGCCTGTAGACAAAGAGCAAAGGAGGGAAGTGTCATTTTTCATGCTTATATATAACAATCTATGTAACAGGGTTGCTGGTAAAGGGGTCCTGGGACACAATGTTCATAGATTGAAAGGAGGTGTAAACAGGGGGGGGAGAAAGGAGAGTTGGGCGTGAAAGAGTGTCATTATATTGCGTGTACAGACGATGCCGCACCTGAAACGCGAGTGGAAAGCTGGCTTAGGCTTAAACTCCCAATTGCCTACCTAAAGTAATAAACAATGCCATTCTACGACCTTTGAATCTTGTGGACGAAGCATTCGTTCGCCAGGCTTATACGTAGCAGGCAGTAAAAGCACCTAGTACCTAACCCAGACATAGAAGGGGCCTACAATATAGCCACGTAACACGCACGATGAAGATATCATATTTCTACATCGGTTTCATGGTTGAACTGTCCATGTTACATTGGTATCTGAATGAAACTGAGTGACAAAGATCACTATTGAGACCCGTTCTAAGCTATGGCCCTCCCGGCCAAGCCTTGCCAATAAGCAAAGCTCAGAGTTTTAATATAGAGAGTCATATGTTTTTCATCTGTTACCATTAGGTTGGGAGCTCCATCCAGGCTCTCTTTGGTTACCTGGGTGTTGACTGCCATGGATGGCTTTAAGGCACATGTTCGAAATCACAACCCTCACCGTAGCCCCCGATTCATAGGACTTTAGGGAGGCATGCGAGATTCTGTCTTGGTAAAAGTGTAATGCGTATCCACTTTGAGCTAGTATATAAAGAAGACCGCATAGCCCTACGGGTTATGTTTTTCTCCTTTCTTCTTCAACTTTGATATAGTTACGAAATGTGATGGGTATATTCAAAGAAGGTATCAAATTAACCTATCGTTCCACTACCACGAAAAGCATCAACTGATGATTGATTTTTCATCAAGGTACTAGTTAGTAACTAGTCTAATAAGGCAATATAGATGCGATGAGGTTTTACGCCCATGTCAATCCATCGTGAGTCTGCACTCATCTTCACAAGCACCTAATGCACTGTACTATTAAAGCACCTACCAATTAGCAACCAGCATTGGTTTCTCATATCTCAAAACCCACCATAGCATCAGTATGCTGAAGAAATACTACGTGTCGACCATATAATAGGCACTTAATATACATTGTATAGGTATATAAGTGTCTGCATGTAGGTGCATAGAGGAATAAAAAGGGGGGAGGGAGCAATGGCATAGGAGATAACAAGCTTTATAGGCGCATACTACTAGTAGCACAAGCTGCATGCACTTATGAAGATAAGCTTTCTTGGAAAGTTGGGGGCTGCGGAAGCCGAAGCTTGGCCCACATTTTATTACTTTAAGTACTACTACTAAGCATTTATTCACCGTTTGCTGTCGATCCTCTCCGCACTTTCCCATGCCCCATACAGCTCCAATTATTATGCTCGTGTAACACTTGCATACGTACCTATGCTTAGCTAACCCCTGCGTGGGATGCTACCTAGTACTGTATATATCCCTAGATATGCACCTATTATGTGATAGGTACAGTATAGGTACAGTTATGCGGTACCCCCATTCGGCAATTCCCATTTACTCCAACCGAGACGAGAGAGGGAAGGGGAAGGGGGGGTGGAAAGGAAAAGAAAAAGAAAAAGAAAAAGAAAGGGCACATGGTAAGTGGCGGTACTTGAACAAAGAAACTACTATGTCTCCTATACTACCACGTAGATGGGACGAAACCTTCCAACCTTGCCGAGCTTATATCCCTACATACATAATACCTACCTAGGGTATGCATACTAGGTATATATACTAGTAGTACTGCCAGGTATATCCCAGGTCCACATCTACGTTCTTGTCCTTGTTCTTTTTTCTCTTCTCTTGAGGATTTCTCTCCATCATCATCATCACTTATACCAATCTCCTATCTTCTACCTACACTATAGTATGGACCTCTCCAAAGATCAAGAATTGGTGCCTACGCAGAGTAGGCGCGAACAAGGAGGTGCTAGTTCTCTTGAAAAGGAACGAGGACTCGAGAATCATGCCCTATATATCGACCCAGCTGTTGAGAAGAGAGTCGTAAGGAAAATAGATCGCGTCTTGATCCCCTTGGTTATGGGGCTCTGTGAGTGATTCCCACTAAATGTTCTCACTCAAGCGCAACACTCATCTTACATCTCATCTAGACTTGGTCTCCTTCCTAGATCGTTCAAATATTGGAAATGCCGAGACGGCTGGCATGTACGTTAAGATTTTTACTCATGTGACCGTCTTGCTCATAGCATCATCTCTCATTGAACGAGTTCCGTCCACGAAACTCCGTACTACTGCTACCAAAAAAGACGGTGTGGCGCATGCAGGCGCTGCTGCTGCTTACCACCTAAATATCTGCTTGATGAACTTATAAGGCTCTGGAGGGTAGTGCTGACACATCGATATTCGCGTAGGAGCAAGGACCTTGGCTTCGATGATGCCCATTATCAGGTTGGTCGTCCGCCTCTACCAGACATGAGCTATACCATACTAATCATGTAACGACGAAGTGGCTTTTGACGATATTTTACATCCCTTATAGTGCGTCATTACTCATATAACCCTGTACGGTCTACAGCTATTGACCGCTTATCATAGTTGTCTTCGAATGGGCTGCGCTCATGTGGAAACTTGTGCCTCCGTGAGTTCTTCCTCGCAAATAGCCGTAGGAGTGTCGACTAACATACATTGACAGTCACAGTATGTGATGCTCATACCCAATTCCTTTTTAGTTTTTTTATGGGAACAAGTGGCCTGAGTCCATTTTATGAATCATCGGCCTGTTGACCGGGTGGCCCAAATACCCCTTTATTATGGAACCCTTGATCACTAATACTCGTTCGTGTAGTATGGGCAACTATTTGTGTGCTCCTATGGTGAGACATTTCTATTTTTAACTGGACGCGTTCCAAGCGCTGATTCGCTTATAGGGGGCTGTCCTCGACTCTTCAGGCAACAGCATTCAGTTGGTCTGGCTTGATGGTATGCCGCTTCTTCCTCGCTACAGCCGAGGCGGGTTACGGACCCGGAATCCCATATCTACTTTCCTTCTTCTATAAGCGCCACGAACTTGGATTTAGATGCGGTATCTTCCTCTCCGCCGCCCCTCTTGCCACCACTTTTGCGGGAGCTTTGGCCTACGGGATAACATCAGGTCACCCCGCGCACATCGCGAACTGGAGGCTCCTGTTCCTTGTGGAAGGACTCCCCTCGGTTATATTGGCAGCCGTGGCCTTCTTCTACATGCCGGACTCGGCTGACACGGCCAAGTTCTTGACGGAGGAAGAAAGACAGGTCGCCAAGGTCCGAGCTATCCAGCAGTCGGGAAAAGAGGGGGCTTCGCGTATAGGTCACGTCAATTTTAAAGACATACTCTCGTCGCTCAAGGATGTCAAGACGTGGATCCCGCCTTTGAGTAAGTTGACCTCATCCCTCTCACCTATGTCAGAGTACATTGCCTAGTCATGTGTGCTTCCACTCTGGGGCCGCAGGGTTTAATTCTTCTACATGATCATGACTAACTCCAAGTGTTCATAGTGTACTTCAGCTGCAACGGTAAGGATGACGCCTGCTTGCTCGCTTCTATATGCTAACCATAGGGAATAGTCTCATTCAGCAGCTTACCCGTGTTCTTGCCATCCATTCTCCTCAACATGGGCTTCACGGCTATAGATGCCCAGGGGCTTAGCGCACCGCCCTACTTCCTTTCATTCCTGGTGTGCATCGCAACAACGTGGATCGCAGACCGAACACGTCAGCGAGGCCTCATGATATTCAGCCTCTCCATTATCGCCGGCATCGGATACGTCATACTCGTGACATGCAAGAGCGTGGCCGCCCGCTACTTCGGCGTCTTCCTCGCAGCCGCCGGTGTCTTCCCAGCCATCTCGAACATCCTCCCCTGGACGATCAACAACCAGGGCAGCGACTCGAAGAGGGGGGCCGGCATCGCGCTGCTCAACATCGTCGGCCAGTGCGGGCCGATCCTAGGCACGCGCGTGTTCCCGGCCCACGACGCGCCGTACTATACGATGGGCATGGGCATCTGCGCCGGGTTCATGTTTTTCAACGCGATCCTGACCCTGACCCTCCGGACCTACCTGAGCTGGGAGAACAAGCGGTTCGAGAAGAATGACGAGGCGATGCGCCAGGCGGGCACGGATCCGGCGGCTGGTGAGATCGGGACGGAGAATGAGGGGTATGGGTTTAGGAATATTTTGTGAAAAGAGGGAGAAGAAATGCGACCATGTATCTATCTACTAGGTATGTATACTTGAGGTTGGAGCTGTATATTTCGGTATATATGCACAGAGATACGGGCCTGGAAGTATTATAAGTCTAGCCGATACATAAGAGCACGATGTATATCGGTCGACTCTTAATTGGGTAGAGTTAGAACTTTATGATGATATAAAAGCACCTGGTTTAGGTATAAAAGGGGACAATCATGATTCACGCATGGATAGGTTTCAATAAATTTGATATGACACCTTCGGCATAGTAGTGCGCAATGCAGTCATTCAATCTGACATCTTGCTCCTTGGGCAACTCTCTGTACGACAAAGGCCCTGTTCCTCGTACACAACCCCCTTCCCACCCAAATCTTAGTGTAGAAACCCCCTCTACCTCCCTAGGTAGGTACCTACGCAACAACAACCCCCTTCCCCACCTCCACCTGCACCACATCCTTCTTCCCCTTCTCCACCCTCCCATACGTCGTCCCATACCTCTCCAACATGTGCTCCTCCGCCGTGATCGCCCTCCTCCCTCCCCCCGACCCGTCCAGCGGCGCCAGCTCCACATCCGTGTTCCCGTCGAAGAAGAAAGGAGCAGAGTACCGATGCCCGCCGCTGCGGTTGACGACGCGGTGCACGGTGCTCTTGTAGACGTCGCGCGTCCAGAAGGACAGCATGTCGGCGATGTTGACGACGTAGGCGTCCGGGTTGGGGTGCACCGGGATCCAGGTGGAGGTGGCGCGGTTGAGGACCTCGAGGCCGCCCGAGGTGTCCTGGAGGAGGAGGGTTATGGAACCTGTTGGGGTTAGGGTTAGGGGGTTTTTGGGTATTCTTGGTTGGAAACCTTGGTGGAGGAGAGGAGGAGAGAGAGGGGAAAATAAAAGGGGAAAAAAAAGAAAAAAAAAGAGGAAATGAAAAGAGGAAAACCCACCAAAATCCGTATGCGCCCCCGCGCCCAGCTGCCGCTCGTCCGTCGACTCCTGCGGTGGGTAGTGCAGCAGTCGTAGAGCGCAGACAGGGTCGTTGGAAACGAACGGGACGAAGACGTCGTCGCCGTAGGGGAGGCCCTTGGCGAGGATCTCCATGACGGTGCACGACAGCGCGAACACGGCCGCGTAGTACGCCTCCGTGGGTTCCTTGAGCGCTGAGTCGGGCAGGCTCGGGGGGAAGATGTTGGGTCCGATTAGCACTGGGTGTGCTTGCGAGCGCGGGTCGGAGGAGGGGATGTGCTGGCCGATGAAGAAACCCTGTTGGTGATGAGAGGTTGAGTTTGGGTGGAAAGATGGAAAGGGGTCAAGTAAATATAGAGGTGCCTACTTCCTTGAGATCAGGCAAGGTATCCTCCTGCAAAGCCTGTAACCCCATAATTCAAAATCCAGAAGTTAGTCGACTTTCCCATGTCTCGTGATTCTCCCACACACGAAAAAACGAGCACGAAACCCAACAACGGGCTCAGACTCCAACTGCCTAGGTAGGTTTACTAACCTGCGAGCCGATCAACTCATAGCCCCTATTTTTCAACACCGGGTGCCGAAGCGACGCCTTCTCCTCGAGCGGAAGCGCGAAGAAGGTCTCGGCGGCTTTGAAGAGAGCATCCCGTAGTTCCTTTGGCACGCCGTGGTTGATTATTTGGAAAACTATGATGACCAATGATTAGCTTTGGATACCTATATATATATATATATAGAGAGAGAGAGAGAGTATTCGAAGGGTAGGCAAATATCCACTAAAGAAAAAGGGAAGAGAAAGAAGCGTAGGTATGACATACAACCACTAGTCGTGCATGCCTGGCGTACCTCGTCGACAACCTTGGCCGCCGCTGCTGAGGACGGGTTCTCGAGGTACGGAGATATGTCGATAATCGGGATCTCGAACGAATCGGCGGTTTCATTGGTGACGGCCATATTGGCAGGCAGCGCCCCTTTATCTCGATAAATGTATGGTGGAAGAATAATAGACACTCCTTACTTAACCGTAGCCTAGGTACTTAGCCAATTAGGTCCTGAGATTGAAATTGAGATGGAGTGTATAGATTTATCTACTTGATACACACACCACTCACAGACAGACTCTCTTTTCATAGCACAGCTGATATTGAGTAGGTAGGTAACATTCAAAGGGGATGGAAGCTCAATATAAATATTATCGGCGGGGAACCCTCACGGAGCACGCCGGCCACCGGCTACACGGATCCGGATTACTTGTTATCACATTCCCATTATCGATCTTCATTACTCTACTCTTTGCCTCATCCTTCTTTCATCCACATGTGCAATATAATACTACGTGGGTAGATACCTATAACATGGGATTTCCAACAAGAGTGGGGGAATACTTATTCATCCAAGAAGACATCCATCCCACTTTGGCCCAGCACCTCCAAGATCATGAACCTTTATATCCCTATTATCCCACTTTAGGAGCAAACCCCATGTACCGCCACCTGACTTCAATGTTACACATAATATGTAGGTGTTGAGGGGAAGAGAGTCAAGAGACTGGTGTTGTATCAAGGGAATATGCAATAAAATGATGTAAGCCGCTATACATATCAGGACATGGAGTATTTAGTATAACCAACAACTTCTTTTTTTTTTCATATAAATTAATACTGCATCCCTCATAGAGGCTATCGTAGTACTTAAATCGTACTCTTACACACATCAGGCTTAATGAACATATATTCTCATGAACATCCAGTCATGTATCGCCGCTCCGGTCCTAAGACCGCATCAATAAACGTGTACTCATAGGCGAGCCTGTGGACACAGCTGTATGAAGCTGCATTAATCGTACCGTATTGCCGATCCTCTCCCTGGTTGTATCCATGTTACGCTGATAAAACCACTTCACTCCCCGCCTTTTCTGTTCTTGCGACGATTATTCTTCTTTTTCTTCTTTTTGTCCTTGGGGGCTGAAGATGTGCCCTCCCCTTCAGAAGGCCCGGCTATCGTGGAGGCCCGTTCTTCATCGGCCTCTGACAAACTGCTATTTGCCTCTAGGACCACTTTGCGGATACCACCGGATTCAATAATATTTTCTGTTATGCTACCACTACGCACGTGGCCTCTTCGTCGCCCGATAATATCCTGGACACTCTCTCCACTGTCGGTGGCGGAACCTTGCGATGGCGAAATCGCTGCTTCGGGCACCGCACTGAGCTTGGTCTGTGTACCTCGAGTCATATGTTCCGAAAACTCGTCCTCAATCGTAGTCACGAGCTTGGGCGAAGCAATAGAGTTAGTAGCGGAAGGCGGTTCGGTATAATTCTGCTGAAGGGCTTGGATGCCGTCCTTGGCAGGTCCGAGAAGGCTTGTGTGCTCGTCTATAACGGTTATTATATCATCGGCCGAATCGATCCTTGCAGCAGGTTGTACTCGTTGCTGTGTGCCAGAGGCTGCCGTTGCTGCCTGCTTGATCTTAACTGCCGAAACTCGGGTGCTCTTAGGATTGGACGCTGGGTTGGATGGGCCAAGATGTTTGAAGTGATCCCTAATATCTTCAATGTTCGTCTTGACCGGTACCGTAGTGTGCACCAGTTGTCCGTCCTGGCCAGCCGAGCGTCTGCGCATTAGTAGAGTTGTCATCCTCGGGCTAGTACTGAGACCAGACACATCGGTCCTGCTACTGACTGATGCAGTTCGCTTAGGCATAACTCGCTTCATGTCTTCTTCTATGTCAATGAGTGTGCCATTTCTGGCTTCCAGGTCTTTGTTCATAAGGTCTCTGTTCATCATTTCCTTCCTCAAAGCCCAAGCCTTGGGCGCAGGGTGAGTTCTACGGATAGCTTTATGAACGTCAACGTATACATCTGACTCGTCAATAATTTCCCTATTTTTTTTTAAACTGGTTAGCAAAGTACGATTAAGGTGAAGAGCAGAAGGTAGTGACTTACTCTCCGATAAGCTCCTCGATGACATCCTCGAGCGTTACCACTCCAAGGGCGCCGTGATCCTCGCCAGGCGACTCCGAAATGAGCACCATGTGGGACTTTCCCTCTTGGAAGAAGTTGATTATATCCAGACAGCTAGTCTCCGGGCGGGTCTCGGGAAGGGTAGCAAGGGCAAAGTCTTTGACGCGTTTACCATCCTCAGGATCATACGTAATGAGAATCTTGACCAACAGCATACCGACAAAATTTGTAGGGTTCCCAGTCTGATAAATAGGAATACGAGAATAACCGGCCTGGAGGATCTGATCAATAGTCTTCTCATCTAATACGGTATCCTCGGACATAACAAAGACGTCATCCATAGGGGTCATGACCTCCTCGACGGCTTTGCGTTTAAGGTCCAGAACGGCACTTATTATGGTTACCTCGTCCTGGTTTAAACGTTCATCAACTTCACCCAACGACTTATGAAGTGTGACCAGAGTCTTTAAACCGCTCTTCTTGTATACAGTACCGTGATCTTCGCCTAGGAGCCAATCGAGGAGCTTTGCAGTGGGCCAGGCAACAGGGGCCATCAGGTACATGAGAAGGAGGACGGGCGTGGACATGTATCCACCGATTTGAAGACCATAACGAACGCATATGGATTGCGGTAAGATTTCGCCAAAGATAACTATAGTGAGTGGAGCAAGTACATTAGCATCGATTCAAAAAATGGGACGAACATATCGTTGGGGAATAGTTGTAACAATACCAATTAGAATAGTACTCCCCACAACAGCTGCGACGCCGCCGCCAAAGCATCTATCTAAAACAACGGGTAGAGTTTCGTTGACAATGACGTTTGAAAGCAGTAGTGTTACTAGCACCCAATGTTTGCCCTTCTTGAGAAGATCGTAGACACGCTTGGCGTTCTTTCGTTGAGGCTCTTCGGCGTCGAGGGATATTACTTGCAAGTAGATCTCATCTTGTCCCATAAGGGCTATAGTCAATCCGGCAAAGGCACCGCCCGAAAGCACAAGGATCATGGACGCAACATAGAGAACCCAAAGCGCGCCATCTTCGGCTTGAGGTGGACTTTCGGGGACTTTGTAAAGGTGTAAGGGGGAGGTCGGGGCGGCAAAGGCTAGCCCAAGCGAGAGGAAGATAGCTCTAAATATACCAAGAACAGCTGTGCGAACTCGAAGGATACCATCGTTTCCCATGCTTTTTCGGAATTCCGACTGTAGAAGCGGAATCGAGGCACACTATTTGTCCGGGCAATATTTGAGACAATATCAATCTTTATAAAATGTGCTACGTACGCAGAATATATCTCGCTCTTTGTGTTACTAGGGGTGTGGATATGTTCGCGTCTTTGCGGGTATCTTTCGATCGAGCAACCCAAATAGGGCAATCAGATGGTGATGCAGTAAGGACAGTGGTCAACGAATGATGATGAGTAGAGGTACCTAGTATAGTTAAGTGTATAAAAAGTAGGTAGGTAGTGAGGTGATCAATTCACCTACTGAATCCCTGTGGTTTGGGTATGGCCAAAAAGAGAAAGAGATTGGCTGCTATTCCCAATGATTTTGGATTTGTACGTGATGTCGGGTGGAATTCTCTTTCAGAAATGTTAAAGAGCGAGGATTGGGAAAAAATCAAAATAATGAATAACTAATGTGGCTCAAGAGGTTGGCGATTGGAAGAAATAGCGTCGATGACGAATGATCAATGCTATAGGAAGACTTTGATAAGGTACCCTAGGTAAATTCAAGCCACCTGCGCCATGCTTGTCTCTTTTAGCTTTCCTGCTTGGCTCAGTGCTGCCTAGCATCAACGAACTAGTACTATGTACAGCTGCTACAGCAAGCTAATAAGGAGCTCCTGTGGAGACTGATCGGAACACCGCATACGGTCTACCGTCTACGACTCTAGAGTCTACGGCACACGGCACCCAGAGTAACCTAAAGGTGGGGCAGAAGCTACCCTGGTTCGTTATGCATTTGCTGCATTTGCTGCATTTGCTGCATTTGTTTGTTACATTCATAGCATCTTGGACTATCTTGGACTGTCATCCAACAACACTGATTCGTGCATCTATAAATTCCGTACATAGTATCCAACCTCCTTGATCTCCATCTTACATATGTACAATCCCTAAGATAACCTTGGAACTATCTATTCAGTCGTACCAGATAGCGTTCATGCCAAATCCTGGTTCGGGAATCCTACACCTTGCAACCCGACCCAGAAACTCGTCTTTCCATCGATAAATCTCAATCCAGCCATCCTGGTCATCCGTGATAGCCACCCACTCATCGCTCCAGTCGCAGGGAACTACTGCGTTGCTATGTCCCCCGCTCGTCGGCGTAGGATTCAAGCAGATCTGCTTCTCGATCGACCCGCAGTCCCGTAACCGAAACGCTGCTATGTAGCCCTGCAGATCAAAACTGTTGGCTCGACTCGTTGCGAATAGATATTTTCCCGACTTCGTGAGCGAGCATACGTCACTCCTGTACATTGTATCATGTTTAGGAATTCCCGGTGGGATTAGGGGATACGAATGGTGCGTGTATATAGGTATGTGCGTTGCCGGGTCGATAACGTACTCGCAGAGTCGGTTACCGGCTTCCATCAGGGCGTATAAGTAATTACCCGTGGGATGCATGGCCACCCAGCGAGGATGGTCTTTCGGGCCCGGCGCGTCAACGCTCCCCACCAGCTCCACATCTCCCGTTTCTGCCTTCTTGTGTACCCATAGCTTGTTCGCCTTCAAGTCGGCCGAGTAAAGGTAGGTTTCCGTTGGGTCGAACACCATGCCATGGATGCCCGTGTTGGGTTGGTATGGGTAATGCTGTATGTCCTTGTCGAGCGCTCCGGTCGAAGACACGGAAAAAACAGTCCCATGACCAGCGTGCAGGTAAAACGGGTTGCAGTACACTGCGTACGGTGGCTGCTTGGCGGCAAGCAGGAAGATAGCACGTGTATTAGTTGTAGCCAAGCTTGCCTGCGCTGCATGTTGAAAGTAAGGGTCAGCTATCAATCAGATAAGGTTGGTGTCTGACCAATGCAAAACTTACGGTCGTGGTTCATGGGATGCGAAGCTTCATGGACGATCTCGGTAGGACTCTTGACGGCGAAACTAGACCATTTTTTCATGGCCGCGCCGTATATGTTCTTCTTAGTGTGCTAATAACAGCAATGACATGTGAGTATATGAAGAGCGCCTAATCACACCTAGAGAACTTTACTTACATCGAAAGTCATCCATGAGATGGGCTCGTCGTGAGGAATCTCAGTCCTCTTGACCAGTTCTAAAGTCAACTTCTCATCGTCGAAAGCCACGGTGAAGATGGCTCCAGGCGGGGTCCATGTCCCTATCATCAAATGATGAACCGGCATCTTTGAGTATCTTCTTATACTATCGCGCGATAAACGTGAAAACAGCCTCGGACAAGTGTTCATGAATATTTCCCTCAATTCAACACCACAATCGACCAGAAGTCCCTAAGAATTGGGTTTCCAGCGTCTCGTCGCTCGGTCGCGCGCACTCAAGCAATACCATCACGCGATAATATTATCCATTGATTCCATGTAATCTCAACTAATAACACTATAGCAGCAATACGATTTGGAATATTTTGTGGATGAGTATGAGTAGGTAAGTAGGGTCAGAGTTATTCCCCGGACCTTATGAATTACCTGGATCATCTACCTATGAAACTTGCCCCTCTTTCGTTTTCCTTTGCATTCTCTTGACACTACATATCTGAACTACGCCATTGCTATGGAACCTAAAGAACGACGATGTGGGGAAGAATGCATACTTTTGTACGCAGTAAGCACGTTTCTCTTTACCTTAATCGGCACCACTATGCAGTAGCGGTAGATGGCCACGGCAGGCGGGCTAATTCGTACCTATAGTCCCTATAGTCCCTACCAACCTAATGCACCTAGTAATCAACTTGCTAGGTAAGTAGCAAGTAAAGAGGTTAGGAATTTCGTCGTTTACAATTCATAATGGTCCCTATTAGCTACCGAGTGGCTGGCTACATGCTGGATCTTTCATTTGCCACGCTGCAATGCCGGATAAATGCTTTATCACGACCATGTTTCCCCGCCATCATGACCATCGTTCGCAGCTCAAACCCGCCAGGCCGTGCCACAGGGGGGATTTATTACTGGACCCTGAATTATTATCTTTTTCTTAATCAGTTCCAGGGATGAGTTTACCAAAATGACGACACCAAACCAAAGACTCTACTTGGAGGCAAAAAGAAATAAAGGAAAATAAAAAGAACATTGAAGCTATTCATAATATCAAGTACTTACCTAATAGGTACTGTATGTTCATAGTATCACTGTATCAATATCAACGATACTAACAATATCCACACTTTAACTCTACATACCCCTGGACAAAGCCACCGCGATTTATTTAGGTTGATAGAGCCAAGTGTTGGAGGTAGTGGAGTTCTAGAAGTTCCCCCTTTTTAGACCTAGTATAGGGATATCTTTCCCTTTGTCTCCCCGAGGGCGATATATAACCCGACAGACTAAGTTTATAGCTGCCGTGGGTTCACCCCGACCCATACCTACCTATTGGGAGCAATGGATGATACATTATGTATAGGGCCATTTTTTCAACTTGGCGGGGTTCTTTACAGGCCCGGAACTAACCTATCACACATTATCCATTGCACATACATCAATAAGATGAACATTAGAGGTGATTCGAACGACCCCTAAACTGAATAACCGTACCGTTTATCGTGCTAGTTGCTAGTTCCTTTCGTGTGTTTAGATGATATATAAGTAGCTCTCGACGAGATATATCTAGCTAGCTAATGCCCGGCCATTCTTCATAATCTTCCTCCCTCTCTCTCTAACCCAATACTCATCTCAATACCACAACGCCTCAACGTATCAAACACACCAACATTTCGACACATTAAACCCCTTTATCTTCAGAACAAAGTCGCCATCCACCGCACAGTCTTTAGAACAAGATGGCTCCCGAGGCAACCGGCTTATCCAACGCGGCGCAAGCCCCTAAGCCTTCCAGATTCGATCCCACATTCACCCAACATGTCCTCGACACTATGGGCCCCAAGACTACGGAGAGAAACCGAGTTGTCTTGGGATCATTGATTCGACACATCCACGATTTCGCTCGCGAAGTTGAACTCACAACTGAAGAATGGCTGGCCGGCGTCGCCTTCGTCAACTCCGTGGGTCGTGTCTACTCAGAATCAGGACAGACGAGAAACGAGTCCCATCGCCTATGCGATATCCTCGGACTAGAAACGTAAGCGCTCCTAATTCAATTTAGTTCCAAAATCCAGAAGAATTTACAAGCTAACATGAAACCTCCCCCTTCCCCCCTTTTAGCCTAGTTGACGAGATCGCACACAAGATCATCTCCGAAGAGGAGATCGACCCGACATCCTCGGCTATCCTCGGCCCCTTCTGGTCGCCCGACGCGCCGTTCCGGGACAACGGGTCCACCATCATCCAGAACCCGGCGCCGAACGGGCGCGTCGTGCTCATGCACGGCGTCATCAGCGACCTCGTCACCGGCAAGCCCATCCCCAACGCCGTCTTCGACATCTGGCAGGCCTCGGCCAACGGCAAGTACGACTTCCAGGACCCCGACAACCAGACCCCCAACAACCTGCGCGGCAAGTTCCGCGCCGACGAGAACGGCAAGTACTGGTTCTACTGCTACCACCCCACCGCCTACTCCCTGCCCAGGGACGGCCCCTCCTACCAGCTGCTGGAGATGATGGACAGGCACCCCATGCGCCCCGCCCACATCCATATCATGGTAAGTCAATCTTCCCCCCCCTCCCTCCTATCAGACACCAATCCAAGTCGCATACTAACCCCCCACCCCCAGGTCACACACCCCGAGTACAAGGGCTGCACCACGCAGCTCTACCCCAAGGAGGACCCGTGGCTGGCAACCGACACCGTGTTCGCCGTCAAGGACGACCTGGTCGTCGACTTCAAGCCCCTCGCCGGCGACGACAAGGCCTCGCTCGAGCTCGACTACAACGTCATCCTGGCGCCCAAGGACTACAAGGGAAAGGTGTTTTGAATGGGGGAAAAGAAAAACCAAAAAAAAACACTGCCTAATCTACAATTAAACGACTGAAGCTACTACTGGGATAGTAGGTGTCTATCTAATGCTAGATGGATGGGTGGATGGATTTGTCTATGTTTATGAGAAGATGATATGTCAAGAACTTGACTGCCGTTTTTGGATATTGGATCTTTTTGCATTGCCCTACTGTAACTACTACTACTACTACATACCTACATACATATATCCATGGATACCTACCTAACCTAGGTAGTTTAGGTCAGGCTTGGATGTGAACTTTTCAGGATTCCAAGCGTTCTTTGGAAAAAGGGGTTGGAGGAGAGGAGATCATAATGCCATTCTGATATCAACTCCTACCTATAAAGTACATAGTAGATCAACCACATTCACACACCTAAGCAAGATTAAATCACTCATCACTTAAGTCTTAATGTACCTTTTACGAATACACAGTTATTAATACTGTCTACTAACTACTAACTACTGACTGCAAGCCAACCACCGCATCGACTTCCAGAAACCGAAAACGAATAAACAACCCGCATCCTCCATTAACCATGTACGTAACAAAGCCAGCAAATCCAACCTAGACAACTACATGTCTCTACTGCTCCCCAAGGACATCATCAAACTTGCAGTCGACCTTGGTGTTGTATAGCTGCTTGCAGCTAGGGCAGGGCCCAAAGTCCATCCACTCGCGCGTCGCGGTGCATCCTTCGATCCGGTCCCCGCCGCTACACCGCACCTCACCGGCCGAGCACGGCTCTTCCTAGGTGATGATGACCGGGGATGGCAGAGACGTCGACGGGGATTCCGTTGCCTCGCTCCTCTTGGTTGGGTAGGTCGTTGGGTAGGTCGTTGGGTAGGTCGTCGGATAGATTGTCGGGTAGGTCGTCGGATAGGATGGAACAGTTGTTGTAGTGGCAACACAGTTCGCCTTGCCTACACCGTCGCCCAAACAAAGAATACAGTCTGAGACCTTGATGTATACGAGATCGATCGAGCAAACCTCTAGCGCATTCCCGTTGCAGCGCTGGAAACCAACGGAAGCGCATAAGTTTATGCCAGTTGGTAATGACAAAGATGTTGGCTGGCCTTGTATTTCCTCATCCCTCTTCGTTGGGTAAGTTGGGGCACCTGTTGAGTAAGTTGTTGTGGTTGGATATGTTGTCGGGGTTGACGCTGTTGGGGATGGCGCCGTCGTTGTTTGGCAAAGGGGGCCTGAATTGCTATCAAGACACGTGAGACAATCCGCGACCTTGACGAATATAGAGCCTGTACACTGCTCTAGCGCATTGCCGTTGCAGCGTTTGGCGCCTAGGACATCGCAGGCGTTTGGTGCGGGTGTCGTTTCAATGGGTGCGCAGTAAGGGATGCCGTAGCCTTGGGTGCACTCGGCGCAGGTCTGTAGGGTTATATAATGTCCATTGTTATCGCACACCTCAAGAATATTGCCGTTACAGCGTTCATCACCCGAGACACATTCGTTTTCGTGGGGTTTGGCCGGCTCCTCGATAGGCACACAGTTAACGAAGCCGCTCTCTTCGGTGCAGCTCTCGCACACTGTAAGAGCGATATAGTTCCCGTCCGCACCACACACCTCCTGCACATTACCATTGCAGCGAAATGTGTTATGGCAGGCGAGTGGAGACGGAGTAGCAATAGGGGAAGTAGTAGGAATAACAATAGGAGTGGAGGTAAGAGTCGTGGTAAAGGGAATACAGTTGGCTATACCTTCCGATAACTCGAAGCACTCGGAGCATTGCTCTACTATACGCCAGACACCATTGTCGTTAACCTCCATGTTGGCGCCATTGCATCGCTGGTCACCAGAAAGGATTGGCACGACAGTGGCCGAGGGAATAGCGATGCAGCCTACCGCGTTCCCTGTGGTATAGCACTGTACGCACTCGGTATATGATGCCCACTCGCCGTCAATGTCGCAAATCTCCTGAATGTCTTGATTGCAACGCATCTGGCTGAAAATACACTTGCCGCGTGGTTGTGGGTGGCTGGCAGAGGCGAGACTTGGTGCCTGAGTGATGACCGGTGAAGTGGCAGCCTGAGCCACGTTACGTTTCTTCAGGTCTCCTGAGTCTGAAGTCGTCGTATGGAGAGTGGGTAGGTTGGCACCTAGTACCGTAGTAGCTAGGCCCATGCCAGCCAGAAGCATGAGAGAAGTAAAACCCATCGTGAAGATGAAAAACCGTTGCTAGTGAATGGAGGAGGTTAAGTGGTAATGATAATGTAAGTGATGAATAAGCTACTAACCTAAGGCTAATGAGCAATAATGATGAAGATATACTCCCGTGTACGAACAGACAAGGCCAAGAAAATATATCTTTCCTGAGACACTTTACTCTATAGTTAATAATTAAGAGTGAGAGATTCGGAGTGGTATGGTGTAGCGAAGAGACTGGGTTTTGTAGAGGGAATTGACCGGCAGACGACTTCCTCGACTATACTCCTTACACTCATGGCAGGTGTGCCTTGAAGTTGATGCACATTACTCCTTGACAATGGCTAATGTTACTGTAGGGTGCGATCGCGAGTTAATTGCATCGCTCTTTCATCTTAGAGTCCGACTATCCAAACATTCGGATGTCTCTTGCTTTCGCTATTTGGCTACTCGGGCCACTTTGGCCGTGTGAAAGGATACCTCGGACCATTGCAAGCAGTTCCTTCTCATCTTCAGCGCGAATTACTCGGCCGCATAGGCATAGCACTGTCTATTTAGCATAATCATATGTGCTCGGAGGTGTTGGAAGGACATGGCCATGAATGTTCGTTGGTAGTCGCCATGAACAGAGACTGACCGTGTAATATCATCTTGCTACAGGTGCATGGAACTTCTACCTTAGCCTCACAAGAAGTATGTCATGTGTTGCCTTTGAAGACTGAACAACCGTGGCATGTTCGCAACCTAAAGTTCGCCATGAATTCAATGTTGGTGTCATGACATCTGAAGACATCGAAATAACTATGTCGAAGGAGGCAGGAACATGCATAGATTCCGCCACGTCTCTCACCTTCTCTTCCTACATGATATAATGATTGGTAGAGCTACTGGTAGAGTTATGCAAATGCTCCTGTCCTAGAATTTGATTTATAATAAGTAGATAAGTTCAAAGGTGTTTACATGCCTCGGGTAGGTGCATTATGTAGTATGTAGTATGTGCTTGACTTGGACGTTGAACTCGAACCAGCCATTAAGATTCAAGACACTGACGGTACATAGTACATACGTAATTATATAATCGCTTAACCTAGTCCCTTGATCCTTCTCTCTAATGTAATATCTTTTGATGCATTTTCGGGTAAGAGCAATTGTATAATAATACATATTTCCTAGTTACAGTAAGTAGATTGATGTTTTCGACAGTTTACCATCCGCCACTTACAAAGAAGAAAATAACTAGCCCCTTTCCAAAAAAGATTCCGGAGAGCAACCCAATGCCAAAGCCCTTAACCTACGACAACTATCAACAACATTCTCTCATAAACACACAGTTTCTCAATTAGGGAAATGGGTCAGTCGAGGATAAGCAACGATTGGTTACATGTATGTACATGACTTGATTCAAAGCAAGCACGCAACGACGATCAACCACATGCAGGCCAATCATATCTTATTAAGGTTAGGTACTATCTAGAGTATTGATATATTTACAAGTTGTACCTAGGTAGGTAATTACTGGGTCCATATATCTTCCTAGGTTAATGTACATAGCTATTGAGGTATGCTACACCGCAGCATCGGACTCCGGCTGTATCTAGGTCGGATACCGACCTTAAGCTGGGGAATAGAAATAGCTTGTTTGGATGTTCTGCGATGCTTACGAGGGCAAGTTAGTACTATCCATATTTATTGAAAGTCGATCTCGTACTTACCTTATGCACATACATATGTAACATTCGAAGTTAGGTATGTCAGGTGTATATAGTAGTACCTACATCGTATCTCCCTTCAATGTTCTTTCAAAGTTTCAAAGACTGGAATTGATGTCATTGTTCTTAGCACTTACCCCAAATTTGCTTGGTACTGTACCTACTTACCTGGGTTGGGCATGGCAAGTTCGTTTCCAATGTCAATCCCCCGCACCTTCAGCTGCTTGGTCTCTATCTGGGGTGGGTTCAGGTGTCATAGTCCGAGCATATCCTTGGATGTTTTTAGCAAGGCCGGGACCTGTACCTAGACCGCCGAGCCTCACTAACCCATTGTTTTCCAGGCTTACCTGGCGCACCTTGCGCATCTTGCGCATCTTGCGCACCTGCCCTTCTAAAAGGTATCCCTTGTCAACTGGCCCGTGATCACCTTGTCAAGGACTATCGCAACTTAATAATTACATGATCCTTCCGCGACACGTTGACTTTTAACTACCTTTTTATACCTTTTTATTTATGATTTTCTTTTACCTTGGATGAGGTTTAAGGGTCAATTCTTTTGACGAATTGACACTATCCAAAGTAAAAGACCATTAGGGGCGCAGGGGGCTGAATAGCCCATAATCTACAGCGCCATGGCTACAGTCAATCCAACCGCGACGACCACCTTGCTGCACACCATAACTGTCACCGCCGCTGCAGCAGCCACCACCACTGCTGGTCCAAGTCCTCAAGGAGGTATCTTAGAGGGCATTCTGCCCAATACGTACCTCCCTTCAAATCCGATACAACTCTTTATCATTCAGGTACCTAACTATCTATCTCCTTACTTACCCAATATCTCTACTTACCATGTTTGTAAATATATATCTACATTTACTCATCATCATCATCATCATCTAGGCTGGCATTATTATCATACTATGTCGCATACTTCACTACCCATTGTCCTTCTTAGGACAACCTCGCGTCATAGCCGAGGTCATCGGTGGCATCATTTTGGGTCCTTCAGTCTTCTCTCGCATTCCAGGTTTCCGAGAGGCTATCTTCCCAACTGCCTCCTTGCCCGTTTTAAACAATGCTGCTAATCTCGGTCTTCTCTTGTTTCTCTTCCTTATCGGCCTCGAGGTCGATATCCGCATGTTCACTTCCAATTGGCGCGTTGCTTTGAGTGTCGGCATAGCTGGTATGGTCCTACCCTTCGGTCTAGGATGTGCCATCGCCTGGGGCTTATTTAATAACTTTCATGATGATGGCACCACCGCCGACATCAATTTTGGCGTGTACGCCTTATTTATCGGAACTGCTTTGGCTATCACCGCTTTTCCCGTATTGTGTCGTATCCTGACCGAGCTGAATATACTAAGTACTCCAGTTGGTGTTACCGTTCTGGCCGCCGGTGTTGGTAATGATGTCGTGGGCTGGGTCCTCCTTGCCCTCTGCGTTGCATTGGTTAACAACGGCTCCGGCTTGACTGCTCTCTGGGTGCTTTTGGTCGCAGCTGGCTGGGTTCTATTTTTGGTATTTGCTGTTAAGCCTGCCTTCCACTGGCTCTTGAGAAGGACAGGTAGCATACAGAATGGCCCGTCTCAAGGCATGATTGCTGTCACTCTTCTCCTGGTCCTTGTCTCAGCTTGGTTCACAAGTAAGAAACCCCTCAGATGCCATTCCCAACCTTGTCACTGACCTAAATTAGGTATCATTGGTGTGCACGCCATTTTTGGTGGTTTCTTGGTCGGCTTGATCTGCCCGCACGATGCTGGTTTCGCCATCCAAGTCACTGAAAAGATTGAAGACCTCGTGACCGTTCTCTTCTTACCCTTGTACTTTGCCCTTTCTGGTCTGAGCACCGATCTTGGCCTCCTCAATGACGGTAAAACTTGGGGTTATGTCATTGCTATCATCGTGATAGCCTTTGCCGGCAAAATCATTGGTGGCACACTAGCCGCCAAGGCAATGAACCTCGTTTGGAGGGAAAGTTTTGCAATAGGCGTCTTGATGAGTTGCAAAGGCTTAGTTGAACTCATCGTGCTTGTACGTTGCGATCTTCGGTAGAATGAACGGGCGCAAATGCTAACCAATATTTAGAACATCGGTCTCCAGGCAAGGATTTTGTCCCAAAAGACATTTACCATGTTCGTGGTCATGGCTCTGGTCACTACCGTCGCCACAAGCCCCTTAACTAAGTGGCTCTATCCCCATTGGTACATAAAGAAGTTAGATCAGTGGAAGCGTGGCGAGATTGATTGGGATGGAAAGCCGATACAATCCGAGGATGCAACCCAGTCAAGGTCCCTCACGGAAGTACAAGATGCCAAGATACATCGCCTCCTGGTTTACCTTCGCTTGGATAGTCTTCCGAGTGTTTTCACGTTTGTGTCTCTTTTAGGGGATGAGAAAGTAACTCCAAAATCGGAGGAGACGTCTAGCTCCGGTCCTAGTGAGAACACTAGTAAGGTTCCTGTTCTACGCAAGCGGTCTCTTGAGGTGCATGCTCTGCGCATTGTTGAGCTCACCGAGCGTACATCATCTGTCATGAAGGTCGCCGAAGCCGATGACTATTCTCTGCGAGATCCAGTAGTGAACGCGTTTCGTACGTTCTCTCGCCTACATGATGTAGCAGTATCCGGTAAAGTGGTCATCGCGCCCGAGGATTCATATGCCCAAACGGTCGTGACGCAAGCTTTGCTCCAGGAATCTGACTTTGTGCTCATCCCCTGGAGCGAAGCCGGGAGCAATAAAGATGACCAGTCGATTCCATCCAAATTTTCTTCAGAGGACCGTTTTACCGGAAAGTCTCATCTGGATTTCATACAGACGACACTATCTAAGGCTGCCTGCAATACTGGAATATTTATTGGCAATGGGTTCGGTGGTGTTGCGCCAAAGGGCCGTCCTGGTATTTCGCGGACCGTCAGTACGGTATCCATGCGTAGCCAAAAGGACACCACTCTACTTCCTCTAGCCGACAAATCGCACAAGATCTTCTTCCCCTATGTCGGAGGAATCGATGATCAAGTTGCACTACGCTTCATTCTTCAGCTCGCCAAAAACCCTCTAATCACTGTCACCATCGCTTACTTAGACTGCTCCGAAGCCGACGATGAGATTGCTACCACTACAGAGGGCAACCTTGATCCCACCGCGTCAGCCTCCTATTCAAAAGCTGCTATTAACACCGGCGTCACAGCACAGGATATTTCAATTCTCGCTACGTTACAATCTAACCTTTCGCCCGATCTGGCCGGCCGAATAACATTCACGGAGCATTCAGTCGCCCCCAGCGCAGCAGTAAAGCAAGCAACCGATTTGGCACGGGAGACTGTGGGGAAGAACTCGAATAATGCAGGTGACATTGTTGTCGTTGGGCGTAGACATCCCAGGTTTCCTGCAACGCCACGCACCGCAGACCAGAAAAGTACAGAATACGATATGCAGAAGACAGTAGGAGTGTTAGGCCAGGCCATGGCTATGAACGACCTGAAGGCTAGCGTACTGGTCATCCAGGCTGGTGGTTCGGGATTTGAGCAATAATTTTGTACTGGAATGAATTAATTATGGGAACTTGGATTACTCGAACTACGTGTTATAGGGATGAGACTATATGAAAGATACGATGAATAGGATATACCATCTAGCCCCACCTGCCAGATAATGATGTGTTATTTTCCCATTAGACTGGGGCTGTTCTGTTTCCGAGGACATAATACTCTTCGTATGACGAAGCGTAATATTCTATAGCCACGTGAGGAAGATATTTTGTTACTTGCATGCCCCTTTCCCGCTTGGCTGACTAGATTTTTGTCGAGTAAGAAAAAATGACACCTCATCTGACCCGTCTTCTGCCAGGGCCCGACAGATTGTCAGCACGTCAGCCGTCATCAGCCCTATAGAACTATTCCAACCCGCTGGTTCGGTACCTACATTTATGTCATACCTTACATCAGATAGGGTTCTTACCTACCCAGGTACTTAAGTAGCTACCTAATTAATATCAACGACCCACGAGAATCGCACGTGGCATCTAGGTATCCAACGTGCTTCCGAGACATTATATTTATATAAGAATCTGATTGTAGGTAAGAAGCACCACATCAACCTCCATATTGGAAGATATCAGAACAAGTCAGATAGTATAGGGGTAGTCATTAGCGTAGGCTTCGAACAGTGGTGGCATGTTCACTATTTACATTTCGCCCCCTATTCCACCCAAGCCACTTCAAACGAGTGTACATTTACATAACTCAGGACCCCAATCCCTGGTTCATTTTTAGCATCCGCGTCCATGTGTCATAGCCATGTGGCCAAATATGTACAAGTATCGTAAAAGGTATCAGTCCTACCTAGTTAGGTTTGGTATTCAATATACCTAATCAATTAATCCTGAGTACTTTGGGTACCTTACCTACCTGCCTACACGGGGTCTATAAACGTTTTATTGAGTGACAGGAAGGCTCACGAGCAGAAGCCCATCGATCAGCGAAGCGCCGATCAGGAACGGGCAGCTGGGGAATCCTGTGGGATGCGCAAAAATCACTTAGTTGCTAGGTACTGGCGACGATCCAGCATAGGACCAACAAACCAAATCTTGGTCATCTTACGCAACCGACCTATTCTTCTGACCATGGTGGCGTTGGTTTCAGAAAAAAATAACACACTTTTACCGCCCTCCATCTCACAGCATTCGTTACTGCCGCCAGCGGCGCAGCCGTCGGCTGCGAGGAGTGGTGGTCTAATAAATGGTCAGCTACCTAGGTAGTAGGTAGCCAACGTTCTTGCCTGGGGTCTCATCATACCTAGGTAGGTAATTAAGTTCTCTAGATCTCTAAATAAAGCACCTGGCGGGTGTACCTGTATGCCTTACATACATGAAATGACTTACATAGGTTGCCTAAGCTAGGTACCTACCTAATTAACCCTATATACATTGAGGGAGTCTATTCAGAGCGGGATGATACAAGCATCATCATCACCATCGCCAACACCGACAACAGCGTCAACCAACATGCATACACACACGGCCCCCGATCCTTAGCGTGGGACGCACGTGGCTTTTGATCGTGCAGTTCAAATGTGCCGGATGATACACATTCAGACATGAGGATAATTAGACGAGAAACCTACCCGGCTGACTCATGGCTGGCTGGCCATTCTACATACATAGCATTAGCTGGATGGGTCAGGGGTTTGATGAAGCGAGTTGACGACATACTACTAGGTAGACACCTACCCACGTAGAGAGATAATAACCATCGTCGCCGCCGCCGCCGTTGCTGCTATTGTACAACCTACCCCTGAACCACGTGGGATACCTTAGATTTCATCCTCCGCGGAGAAAAGGAGGAATCACTTGCTGCCATGGGACCGATTATAATTACCTAGATATCACCAATAATAGTAATAGTACCTACTGGTGTAGGTCACCCAGAGGGAAAAAGAGGCGTCGCCTGCCATGACCTGACAAGTGCATCACCTACCTACCCTATCTACCTATGAGAATAGCTGAAAAGGGGGCAAGCAAACCTTGGTGGCGTACAAATGGCTGTTTCTTGGAGCGAGCTGCCTACACCTATCCCGTGCCAGTGAAGGGTAGCGCCTCTCTTCTACGTTTTTCTTTTCTTCTTTTTCTTTTTATTGAACCTTTCTCTCTCTCTCTCTCTCTCGCCTTCCCTGTTCATAGAAAACCGTATAGGAGCCTCGTATGTAGAGAATTTTGAGACAGTATCAGGTAACTATCATACAAGACATCATCATCATTCATCATCAACAGCGCCCACCCCCTGGAGCTACAGTAGGTAGGCACTGTAGGCACAATACATACACACCTAGTAGGTACCTAGTTAGTAGGTAGGGCGGAAATGTTCCTTGGAAGCTTCGACGGTGTTACACAGCATGAGCATGAACTATTTTCGGTCGGTCGGAGGAACAACATGGCGTTTTTTTTGTGGTTCGTCCGAACGCCGATGGAGACTTGAATAACTAATAAACAAGTTCCAAAAGTCTTGTCAAGGTCAAATCAGGCACCTGGTAGCAAGCAGACTTATAGTAGTGTATTGTACATAGATCCCTAAGGTCAGGTTAGTGTAGAAACATGAGTCCAAGACAGTGCAAGTCTTTTTGTGTTACGATGCATCAGAACGTTTATAGATCTATGTATGTATGTATGTATGTATGTATGTGTCATTTCTAGTTTAACGTCTTTTTGCTCTTACATGTAAGTAAGTCTAAGTCTACATAACTTAAGTCTATTATGAGAGAGAATGTGGGTATATACGTGTATAGTATAGGTATTAGTTAGCTGCCCTGCACCGGAATAGCGCCGAAAAGGGCCAAGCCAAAATGTACTTCCGCGGATAGGCGAAAAAGATGGCACCAGCTTTTTTTCAATGTTTCTCAACCCCACGAAGCCACGGCTTTATGGATGGATGGATGGATGGATACTAGGTAATAATCTATCGCCCAACTCCGAAGGGGGCTGAAAAAAGAAGAAGAAGAAGCAGGACAAGGTGTCCTCGTGGCTAGATCTGAAACCCTACCTGGTAGTTCACCGAGTTCTATGTACAAGTACCATCTATCTCCTTTTCCGCACTATTAACCAACTATCCAACTACTATGTACAATACAATTCCCAAAGTGCCCTCGCATTCGGGATCGGAGGGTGACGGGCACGCTTTTGGGGTAGTCGGTTGATATCGAATCGCTTTTTACGAAGCTTGCGTATGGATACTACCATAGGAGAGTAGTTCTTGGTGGCTTGCATAGGTAGTAGATAGGCAGCCAGATTTCCCATACCTACCTACATAACATGCATGTCAAAAAGAGGAATAAGTAGCAAAGGTGTGCTGCTTCCCTTTCAGGACGTTTAGGAAACAGGTTGATGTTGCACTGCATACAGTGCCTTAGACCTTGGAGTTGAAGATCTCGGCCTTCGACGGACCTTATGATGCGATAGATACTAGTTACTAACTATGTAGAACTGGGTCTCTCGGCTTTTGCGCTGTGCCGTACACGCAATTTGTGATTTCATCGTACTACTACAGCCGCTGAAGGAATGTGGATTTGTAAGTGTGCAAAGGTGAAAAAGGGTCCTCCAGGGCTGTTCCAAGTGTTCACCTGATTAGCCAAGGTGGGTTTCGTATGTTCCTTTGCTACGTTGATCTCTCTCTCTCTGTGTGTGTGTGTGTGTGTGTGTGTGTGTGTGTGTGTGTGATCTGATCTATCTGCGTATTGGGACTATATCAAGACTTGGACTCGGGTCCGAGGTCGAGACTCCGAATCCAGTAGTATTCCACGAGCGCGGCAAGGTTGCCTTCGAAAAGCTCTACCCTGGGAAAGGAATACATAGTATGTATGTAGTAGCATTTCGACTTCTTAAACAGGGTATAAATGAGGAAGTAGGGAAGTAGGGAAGTGTGCAAGCATGGCATGCAACTACAAGTTACAAAATCCTATTTTAGTTCGTCATCATGATAAGTAATTCAAGAAGAGCAAAACGGCCCCAACTTCCAGGAATGTTGGTTATCCTTCAGCCTAACAACAGAAAACATCGGGTCCCTGATTTCATGTTAAACGACATCCACGTTAATTTTACCCACAACAACAAGGCTTAGGTCTGCCGAGGGTTGGTAGCCCTTGCTAGCCCTTGCTAGCCCTGGATTGCTGATGGAGAAGAAAAAGAGTTCTGACGACAGCCCCCGGATGATGCCCAGGGGTTGCTGCTCACAAATTATACATAGTAGACAGTGGATCATGCTATATTAGTCCCAGACGACACGGCCAACAGTTCCAACAGTTCAACATTGAGTAATGAATACCAACATTGGGTAATGAATACGACAATGGGTAGATTTGGGGGGGCCATCATTTGGGGCCGTCATTTGGCGCGGCTCTGGGTTCCTACCTTTCCTACCTATCTAGTGTCGGCTTTTGAGGGAAGCCTGGAGCTGATGTTTTGTTTCTCCAGATAGAGATCGTCAGTGGACTAGCCTTCCTCAGGGGGCTTGCGCGAGGGCGGAATGGTTCCAGCGCCAACAGCTTTCGGCCCCCAATATTTCTAAAGACCGAAGCCACCGGAGAGACTGGCCTAAACGGGCAGGTTTTACGGGCTAGCTCGTTGATAGACAAAGTATCTCAGGTATCATCAAAGCTGCTGAAGAAAAATGCGGAAGAGAACAGCAATGCTGAATAACTAATCCAGTTTTTCTTCTTATTTCTTACTTGCACGTGGATATACCGGGCTTATCGGAAGCGCGGATCGGACCGAGCTGACGACGATCGTGTTTCGAGATGATAAACGTTTGCGCTGGTCAAAGCAACACCTGCTATTGTTGTAGTTAGATTGGGTACCTATACGTATGGATTTAGTGTATTTTTCTTCGCTTTATTGTAAAGAGAAATTATAACTCTTTACAGCGTTTACGTCGGCTGCGTCGTATGTTATGGCTAATTATAAGGAAGTGAAATGGCCGCCTCACTACATCCGACGTGCCACACAGGTGCAATTGAAGGTCTCGGCAATGATCCCTAACTATTTGGGCTTCGTTGAAAATTAAGGGCATGAATGGTTACCGACGAGACGCCACCGTGAGGCTGTTGTTAGCTACCCAGGTAAGTGAGGTTATTCAATGCCACACGGATAAAGCAAAGCATGCCGACGGCCGACGACCTACAAGCTTGACCGTAGGTTTTTGTAGAATTCCGACTCAGTGGTGAGGTAGATTTCGGTAAGATAGGGCTACTAGGGCCGGGGGACCGGGTAAGGTACGAGATTAGATAGATCACGGCATACATAGTAGGCGACATGACTTTCTCCGTATTAGATAAACAAGTCTAGAACCACGCCGTATGCATAGTAAACCTGTCAGCCCTGGAGGTGATAAAACCTGGCATCTATAATACCTCCAGTATATATATTGTACAATATACAATATACTACATAGTATACCTACCTCCACTAGGTAGCGCTTGAGAATCAGATAGCTATATCAATCACAGGGGCCATATGCAGGAGGTATTTAGTTAATTCCAGTTTTTTCTGGACTCACTGTAGCTGAGGGGCATAAAAACCATCCGGTAAACATGGTAGAAATCCGTATCGGCGAGGTGACTTGATGTACTCTGTGCTTCGGTGACGTAGTTCTGATGCACGAAATGTGAAAGGGCGGAAAGCAGCAGTAACTCCAAGCCCCAAATCGGGTGGTCTAGCTCTGACTCTGGCGGTGGCCGCCGAAATGGCAAACTGAAACGTTGCGGTTTCGCCTCAAGGGATGCGTAGTCACGAGAAGGATAGCGAGTTGTGGGTGTTGTATGGTAGATGGTGGATGGCTGAGCAGCCGAGATGGCGGTAAGTATTGTGTTGCGCTGAGCTGTAAATGTACGGTGATATGCGGCCAGACACAGCAGAATACGCATGTTCTAGGCTTCTGAATTGGTATTGGCATTTCACATTAGCATTGGCATTGGCATTGTCTTGGGTGTTCCCACGATATGGGACGATCCCGATTCAAGGCGCGATTGGAGTTGAGATTTTGGCGAGGTTGCCCGAAGGAGGCTCAAAAACTGCAGAGGAATGAGAAAAGGGAAGTAAAAAGTAATGCAAGATGAAAAATGAAAGGAGCAAGGTGACATATTGCGCCTCACGTTACGCCTGAGGCTAAAGCGCGTCACCGCAGGGCGGAGATTTGGGATTACGCATGGGGTTTGTGTATTGTATTGCATTGTAGTTAATTGTAATATTGTATAGTATTGTATAGTATTGTATGTAGGAGTATGTAGGAGTATGGAGGAGTATGTAGGAATGTAGGTATGTAGGTATGTAGGAATGTACAGTATGTATGTAGATGTAGATGTAGATGTAGATGTAGTATGTAGATGTAGTAGATGAACAGCGCAGACAACGTGGTTGTGTTGCAGATCGGGATTTGACTTTCACTTTGTGCGTCTGTTGGGCTGAGATTTAGCAGGGTCAACCAGGCCGGCTACTAGTGTACCTAGTACGTGTAGGTAGGTACATATGTAGTGCTAGTGGATATGTATGTACCTAGGTATTTACCTTGATCTCCCACTCATCCCTGCATATCCCAGAAACCCCTGCAACATCTCCATGCGAGCTGTATCGGCCGACCGCCAGTCTCCCATACAAGAGCTTACAGACATAGGAAACTACCCCTGCAAAAAGCGGTGGGCTACTCGGGGTCTCATGCAGTGCTTCGCCGCCGACCAAAGAACCCACCTAAACCCACCTAAACTCATCCCGCACCCACACAACCCACACAACCCACGCAACCCACGCAGCACCCAGGATAGGACAAGGTCTCCACTTTCCCAATCAATGATTCAATTTGGGAATTCAACTCTGCTGTCATTGGCTGCCCGAATCATTTGTAGCAGCCGTATTAGGTTTTCCATCTCCCTAACCAACCAAGTTGGAAAGAGCAAAATGACCCAGGGACTTGCTTGCTTGCAGTTGGGGAGGTCACGCTACAAAGTCCCCTATGTAACACAGCAGCCGTCACAGGAAATAGTTCGATGTGATGCCCAGCATGTCCATGTCGATGAGACATCCATTTCGTTACGGGGAATAATTTAACCTCAATTGATTACATGCTAACAATTTGACGTTCTTAATGAATCTACATATGTAGGTACATTATGATGTAGGTACATGTATTGCTCATAGCTACCAGAGTGTTGACCCTAGTAAGTGTAAGGTACATACTGTCTCGGGAGCTGCCCTACATCGTAAAGACCTATCAATATGATGTATGTCGAGATATCAAACAAAATACATACATATGTACCTGATATCCAGCCCTATCATCATCGTCATGCCGATCAATCATGTACATAAGAAAGTATAAATTATAGAGTTATTACGGTAAGTACATCTTCCTTGCCAGGGGTTATAGGTATGGTGCAATCAATACCATGCATAACTAAACAAGGGCATAATATCTAGGGTACGTAGTAGGTATTAGGTTAAAACATCTGATATCGATCTCCTACCTAAAGGAATAGTAATGAGCCTCAAGACAAACGTTTCAGCGGCCATTACACAAAGTGGATACATCCGTGGAATAGTATGCGAATCTTGAGAGCACCTAGTAGCATTCATAACAATAAGTACACGGTAAAATCACTAATAGCACCAGAAGGCATAAATATATTATGCATTTGGCTTAAAAGAGCAACGTATATTACTAGCCGTGGAGAAGCGGTAGTAGGGTGAAGCCAAAGAGCCCGCTCATTGCCGTATCCGACGACGTCAATGGCCAAGGAACGCCTTTGGTGTAACGCCGATACACTTATTGTCTTAGCGCCGCCGCCAACCAATTCCTGGGGAAGGAGTTTGCGAAGTCTTTATATCGATAATTCTACTCGATAGTTCTAGGCTTCAGTTGTCCAGGACAATAGATCCGCGGAACATGATCAATAATCGTACGAAGGTCGGTCGACCACCGATGCCAGAAGCCGTCTGGCGTCTGGGGTTCGTTAATATTCGGGATTTGTCATGTGCATGGGCAAGTTCAAATAGCGAATTGGCACTCGCGATTGTAACCCAAGTTATCGTCGGATCTGATTGGGCCAGCCGCCCCTGATGTCGTTGCCTTGGAAAGTCATGCGTAGTACGTACATACCTAGCTGGATGGCGGGCTGGTTAAATCCGAATTCGTAACAGGCCATGTCACATGGGAGCTTATTAACAATCAATTCTCAGAGCGTCGATTGGCAATAACGCGCAAATAATTGCTACAAGTTTTGCTGGTGTTCTGGGCGAAGCTCGGAGTCAAAGAGCCGCACAATGCCTCATTTCGCGATACCTCCAACCTTCAAATTGTTCGAGGGTCATTCATTCATTACCGCTAGCGCAATTCAATTGTTAGGTATCTAAGGTATATAGATAGTAGTCGCATTTCCACAAATAGAAGCTCAGTAAGATCTAAGGACTAAAGAACTAGGTTACAGATGTACATACCGTTCCCTAGTTCCAACGTTCTCAGAACTGTAAATTTAGTGATTTTGAACCCCATAACCTAGGCTACATATCTCGATAATGACATCTATAGCTGATTTTAGGCAAAGAGGGGTACGGAATGCTGCTCTCTGATAGGCGGGTAACAAATAGTTAAAAGATATTAAGCACCTTTTCTTCAGCCCTATGGCTACTAGTCATGCGCGTGAGCGGCGACACCGAAGAACAAGAATCCGCTACTTTCCCAAGGTTTGCTAATTAGCGCGAATAAAGATGGCGGTAGCCTGGTAGGACCTTGCTAGTCATCCCCACAACTAACCGCTTGAAAGGGGGGAGAATTGAAGGTGTTGGTACGTAAACCGTCGGAAATTGATGATTAATACATTAAAAAAAACATACTCACTTAGGTACCGGTACCACACCGTTGTTCCACGTCGCATCCCATGCGTCAATTTAATTTATATTCAGACCGCTAAATGTTTTAGTGCTGTAACCTTCTTCTCGGGTTCGTTGCTGAAGGCCATTGATATGTAGTATGTATGTACTATACTATACCAGACCTCGGACTATCCAAGGCTGCTGCTGTTGGTATGGTCTGGCTATTGGCAGCACTACCGTATATTTTCGGCATTATGGTCCTCTTGTTAGCTCCACTTATTTGTGCGCCTTGCCCAATGTGGTTAGTTCAGTGCTGAGGCTCTAGTATTAGTGTTATCAAAGTCCACGTGATCATAATTCTACCTATCTTATTTTTGTGTTTTTTCAATAAGGATAGGTTTAAAGTGTTATGCATTAATTAAGAAGCTTTAAATATCCATACATTTATCAAGAAATAACAGAAAAACGTAGATATTGGAGAGCAGGTATCACGTGCTGACACGTGACATTGCGTGCTCATATTGTTGGAATCGGATAAGAATCCCTCCGAAATGAGGTGTAGTTGAATAAACCTTGGGGTAAATCACCCTAATTAGGTAAAGCGCATTAATAAGTGGAGCTAACAAGAGGACCATAATGCCGAAAATATACGGTATTTGCTTCCTTGCTGGGTTGCTTGGTAGTGCGGCTACGACTGCGGGGACTGGTATTTCAACAACTGCGACGAAGATAGGTGATAGGTGTTTGACGCCATCACAGGTAACTTCTTGCGATGAGACAACCTACCCATCTCGAATGATTTCACCCCACAGATCCCTAACTACTAGGTAGCTATACCCAGCTTTTTCCATTTGGTAGCCAATATTCGGGCTTTGAATTTCCTATGCCGATGCCGATGTCCTTAGCCTTGTTTAATAGATGGAGGGACCGATGGGATGCTGTCTGACAGTTATAGTTATGACATTTAACGGCAATAATATGCGGATAAGTAGTCATCTCAGCCCTATGGACAGACAGTCTAAAGAGAAGGCCAGAACTCGGCGCATCTGTGAATGAAGGTACCGGATACCTAAAAAAGGTACATACATCTTGGATAGACCCTAGATGGATTGATCCTTCAAGGCCCTTTATCCATACACCCCCTACCTATAATGTATCATCATTATGTATGTATGCTACAGGGCGTAGGTGACTACTAGCGTGTGTTGCTTTTATTATAATTTGCCCATTTACATACCTACCTACATAGTAATTACATACACTTCAAATCAGAATAACTACATAACTAGTGGTGTGATGCTAGAGAAAGTTGGGGGTCCTTTCTCAGACGGGACGCAGTCTTGGCGGGACCCAAGACCACAGGCACGGGTTCAGTAAAGCAGCCCATTCACCTTCGTTTCCAGACAGTTGATACAGGATTAATAATTAAGTTTCCATGTTTCCCATACATAATGCAGCCATAACTATCTGCCAACCAACGTACATTAGGTAGGTAGTCACGGACGATGTGGAATTTTTTTATTGAAATAACCAACTTTCACAGGTTTGTGGCTGTTAACTATGGAAATGCCAGTATGTACACCTGCAGAACACGAAAAATGTTAGTCACCCGGCGTATTCAAATCCGTAGGTTAGTGCAATTCCCATTAACTACTGGGTACTACTATGTAGGTGAATTACATACTAGGTATATCGTCTTTTGGCGGTCGCGGTGCGGTCGAGGTGCGGTCGATGTGCGGCGGAATCATGTCTGCTGTGCATGGGATACGATGATGGCGGAGGCGCATGGCATCATTGTCGTATTTTATTCCATAACAGGTAAGTAAAGAGAAGGAACATTAGCCATCAATCTTCAGATGCTAGCAGCTAACAGTTTAACTACCTACTGCATAGTACTAGGTAATTACATGTACTAGGTGCTGTACAGCCTGTACTGTGTATTAGTGTAGATTAGTATACTACTTACAAGGGGTGCAGATTATTAATACTTTTGTATGGCTAACATTGAAAGAATCCAATGTATTTAACCCAAATTAATTTAGCTGCCGCCTTATGTTCAATT